AGAGAAATAAATAAATAAATAAATAAAGGTTCCTTCGCGAACGTATCTTCCAAATAAATCGCGAAAATCCGAATAATGAAGCGAATCGTTCGATCAAAAAAAAAAAAAAAAGAAATAGAAAAGAGTAATAAAAGAAATGAAAACATAAAAAAACTGTAAAGCCTTGAAATATTAATTAAATCTGCTGATACGTTATAATATGTGACAGGCAACGTGGGTGACTCAGGCATTGAATTTATATAAAAATAATTCCTTATTTATAGAAAACTTGTACATATATAATGCACGCTATACCAATTAATTATTTATGCAAAGTGTACAAAACTTGGGTAGCTTATGAAGGCGTTATGGAAAAATTCGTCTACGTATGCATAATGCTTGACCAACGCGATGACATTGAATTAAAAACAGAAATAAAAAAAGAAAGAAAGAAAGTGAAAGAAAGGGAAAGAGAAACATGGAGAAAGGGTGAGATAAAAAGAAAGAAAAAGAAAAAGTTATTTTTAAAATGTCGACGAATATATTTTGTCGATAAATATTTTTGACGAATTTTTTTGTTCATCGCTTCTCATTATCGGTACACGCTTCGTGCGACACTTTTCACATGGATATATAATATACTCGATATTATATTACCGTAGATCAAGAAGTATTTTTGCTACGTTCGTAATCTTTACATGCATGCGTACATACATCCGAACGATATAAAAAGTTTCCAGAAACGCTCTTATAAGAAATACATTATTATTCCATATCGATTCTTGATTTCCCGCTTTGCCTGTAATAAGCGCACTATAAATATTATTAACGGATTCAAGAGAAACCTAGTATTTAGGTTTGAACAATGAAATGGAAAGAAATGTTAGGAAAATAAAAAAAAAAAAACAAAGAAAACGACAAAAATAAGAGGCATGATATCAATCGAAAAGTTTATAATAATAATGGAATAGAAATGAAATAAGTGAAAAATAGAAAACCGAGAGAATGGAATGAATAAATAAATCGATAGATATAGATAGATAGAGAAGTGCAAGAGGAGGAGGAGGATCAAGAGGAGGAGTTAAGATGAGGAAGAAGAAGAAAAGAGTGAACCGTGTAAATATGCTGAAAGTAGTAAAATATCGAAAGAAAGCGAGAGACTAAAAAAAAAAAAAGCCTCGGCAACAAACAAGCAATATTTAGTTCTTATCATCTCTCAATAAAATAAAGAATAAACTCCAACTGTATTTGTACACGCGTGTACAACTCTCGTACATATATTTAAACGACTATAAATTAAAAGTTAATTATCCTTACACTTCGTATATAGTAAATTGTTACGCATTTATTATCATTACAATTATTGAATAGGTAATGCTCAATTAGCATTTGTTTCTTAAAATAAAAAATAAATATATGGCTGTTGGATATTTACATGAACATGTCACTACCTTTTTGATACCTAAATATATATACACACACGCATATCCTTTTCTATATATACTTTTCAAGAGGAAATAGAAAGGAAATAACAACTGTGGATTGGAAAAATAAGATTATGTGTGGATTATTATTAGACAAATAAAAATTATACGTAAAAAAAGGTTATTCCGAGTTGAACGTGAGAAGACCACATGGGTAATAAATGATTTTAAATGTTTTATTGTAAATTGTCCTACACAATCACCATATCTTGGCTCATTTTCGTTACATTATTGTTATTATAAATAATAAAACCTTACAAGAGCCATATCATTCGATTCATACAATCTATTCACATGTAACATCATTTATTTATTTATTTATTTATTTTCTTATTTATTTACTTATTTATTTTATTTCATTTTATTTTACTTATTTTTTTTTTTTTTGTTATTAATGCTATCTCGTTCAAGAACATAAAAAATCGCATTTTAACCATAGGAGACATCATTCAGGTTCATAAAAAAACCTAATCAACTATTTTGTTCACGATAAAAACTCATTTTGCGTATAAGCAGAATTGTCACTCGCGAATTATTTAAGAAAAAGACTATCTAACTTATAGATAAAAAACTTTTGCACGCACTCGTTCTCCCTTTAAGGGATAAACGAGACTTTCATGTATACATCGGAGATGATATACGTTCCTATAGTAATTAGAAAAATAATACAATTTCGTTTGATTAATGGAAACAATTAACTATTCGTAATGTACCACATGATTTATAAAATTATGGGCATTCGAGTATGTTGCGCAGCTAACGAAGTTCCTGCAAACAGTTTGATAAATCTAATATGCTATTCGTATTATGATCTTATCAATGTACGATCAATTACAATAGATCCTCGTATAACGCGGTTAAATTACACGTTTTATGGAATCACGTTACACAAAATCATTTTACAGAAGAATTTTCTTTGTATAACAAGAATAATATAAATAACATGTTTAAAAATAACAACTGTTGTAATTGTCTAATTTAGTTTTCTATAATTTACCTATTGAAATAGTAAAATAGAAAAAATCTAGAAAATTAAAACAGGACAATAATTTAATTATTTAGTGATAATTTGTTTTATTAAATATTTTTAATGCGTTATACGAGAGTTTACTGTATATCATTTGAAGAATCGATAAATCAGGCGAAGAAAAATAAGAATACAAAACATTATTAATTAACCCTTTCGCTACGGCGCGCTTGTGACAAAATATGATCGCTGTGTACGGAACACGTTGTTCTTTTGTATCTGATCGCCCACTTTTCGATAGTGTATAGATACACTAAATATATACATACATTCATCGGAGCGAAAGGGTTAATATTCATCGAAAATATTAACCTACTTCGGTTATTTAACAATTACAAATATGATTAACAAGCGTGAAAAATTATATACAAAAATGAAGCTTGTTTTGGTCATTATTTTTAATTAATACATCATTTCGTAATCTCGCTCTAATAGATTGAATCTTTTAACTTAGTGATTGCAATAAAATCAATGAATTAATTATTTAAGTTACAATTCCATACCTTATCAAGGTACAGGGCTGTCTGTTCCACTTCCACTGTTGGTCCCAGCTTCAGTCTTAGTAGCAGCTACTCTGTCACCTCGTTTGGATGTCTTTGATAATGATGCAACTTCCTTTAACAAACTCGATATTTTATGTTGCATGTTTGATACTTTAGTTTCGTATTCCTTTTCGGTTGCTTTCATCTTATTACGTAGCTCTGTCTCTGATGTAAAATTTTTTGCCTTTAATTCCGTTATCTGTATATTACAAACAAACAAACAAAATAAGAATCAAATTTATATATAACACGAGATTGTGATTACACACCAATTAAAGTACACCGTAAATAGTATCAAACTTATATATACCTGTCTGTCTTTAGCAAGGAGCTGACTATCTTTCATACTAATTTGTTTTTGAAGATGAGCTATTTTCTCCTTAAGTTGTGTAACTGCAACCACATGATCTGAACTGTTTGGATCGTGAGGATCGTGTACGCCGGCCATTCGTGCAACCTTTACTGGAGTAGGGCCATTCGTATCCCCTCCTTCTGATTGCGGTGGCAGCTTAGTGACATCGACTCTTTGTGGCCTCTTATTGTGACCTTTTAATCTAATACAAATAAATAAATAAGTAAATAAAATCAAATAAGAAATTTCTATAAAATACGTAATAAAAATGCATAGCTTAGGTAAAATCAATTATTTGAATGCTTACTTGTGCTCCTTGTGTTTAGCGGCCCGTTGTTGAGCTAGTTTCATATGCGCTCTCCTATCAGCATCTGATTGTTTCGTCTTAGCCAAGGCCCGCTTATAAGATAGAGTACAAAGCCAACATAACAATTTGCCGTCAACCTAAAAACAAAAATACCATGGTAACTAGCAGTAGCGTTACTGCGACTTTAATGTATTACCATATACCAACAAGAGAGAGGTCTTAGCTGTAGAAACTACACTTGATGTTTATTCGTTCTCTAAAAAAAGAAAAGAATTTTTGACAGGAAGTCATACACACTGATCCGATAAAAATATACGAATCAAAAGAGAACAGTGTGCACAGCTACCCTCTGTTATGCAGGAACACAGGAAATATGGAAATCTAAAAAATTCCATATGAAAGATATCTCCGTAGACGCTTGTAAATATTACTATGACATGCAATACCAATTAATTATACGAAAATTTCTTGTGTTCCAAAAAAGTGCACAAAGCATAGAAAAAGACAAAGCGTTAAATATATTCAAAGTACATAGTGATCAATTAGGGACTCTTTTATCTGTATGTAACTTAATACATGCAAAAAATAAATGTAATTAATAATATATTACTTTACAGAATATGATCTGAAAAAGATATTTTCATATGAGAATTTATATAGAAAAACTAAAATTTTATAACGCGTTCTTAAGGCAAGTTAAACATAGACGTCAGCATTATGTTAATACAAAAAATGTCGCAAGTAATAGCGATAGTATCTGAGCAGCTGAAGATGTCTCCTTCGCTGTGACAAGGAATCATTTTTTTTCTTTTTAAATATTGATTAACCTTTTACCTTTTTATCTTCATCCTGTCTGTCAAAGGCACACTTCTGCTTGCATTGCTCGCAAGTGACTGGAGGACCATAACGTTTTTCAGAATTAGTACACCGTTGGCACTTACTGCCAATAAATGCAGCAATGGTGTTGCAATATTCACACGCTGATGGTTTTCCATATGACTTGACATTTTGTTCGCACTTTTTACATATGGTACTTGTATTTCCCTTTCTATATAGAAAAATAAAAAAAAAGAATAATAATTTAAAAATATAATTCTTAATATAGAGCGACGAAATCTATGTTTGTCAGAAAACACATTGCTTTATGCTTCTATACTTACATCGTCTGTTGGAATTCTGATCTACAGTATGTGCATTTCACAACAGGGAATGCGCCTCTACATTCCTAAGGCAATAAAAAATAAAATTGTAATTTTAATAAGCAATTGAAGAAAAATCAATTGAATAATTAAATTTCATATAAATTTGTGTACCTAATACTATTATATTAAAAATATTTTATATATAAATAATAAAAAATTGAAAAGAATTAAATTAAAGAACCGATCACGCGTCAAACATACAATGATATTAAATGTTCTAATATTAGCAATTGGTTTCTACGAAACGAAAGAGACGCTTCGAAACGTCCCGCTGAAGTATGAAATTTCGCGCATAAATTGTAATCAACTAATAATACAATGTAAAATAATTTACCTTGCATAATTGTTGTCCTGGTGAAAGATCCTCGAAAGGATGCCTTGAGAAACATCTTGAGCACGCAAAAAGTGCCTGTGCATTGTTCGTGCTCATTCTCAAACAGTGATTCGTGTTTGCCCTTGTAGCTTCCAAATTGTAATGTCACGAACGATAAAACGAATTTCGTAAGCCGATCAAAAATGATTTTAAACGTCCTTCAATGCGTTTTAACGATTGTTTTTAACGAAAAAAAAAAAATAAACGTAAAAAATTGCAACGTAGATATGCCGTACACTGTTTCCTTACATGTTTTAGCAAATTGTTCACGTAAGACGCTGGCTTCTCACAAGCATAACCACCTTACTCTTTTACACTTGCTCCAACCGGTTGTTGACTTCGCAGAGCCATCTACGCATCGGAACAGGAAATAGAAGTTCGAGCCAAGATTTTCGGGAACGAAGCGTCATCTATTAGTCTATTTTGCTAACTTCTATTATTTAAAATATATTTCATATTTATTTTATTTATTTCTTTTTTATTCTTCCTCTTTTCTTTATACTATATATATATCTATATTTAAAATAAATTTTAATTTTTGTTATAATATTTATCGTACTCTTAAGATTTTATTTTTTCGAAATAAATTAATCAGAAGTATCTTTCAAAGATTTATCTAACTGTAAATATTTTTTTTACCAACATTCGTAAACACTTCATATGGGAGCAAATCTTTACATAATATATTTTTTCTTTAGTATTGACATAATTTACGCATTTAGACAAGTTTCCTTATCACAACGACATTAAAATGGATCCGATTAACGCTGAAGAAGATATTCTTATAGTTAACTTAAAAAATGGAATTAAAAAAGTTATATTTAATAGACCTAAGAAAAGGAATGCTATATCAATAAAGGTAATATATTTTAATGCTTATTAAAATGTTAAATCGCATTCCTTTATAATTTTTTGATATTATTGACAAAATACATTTATATATATATCGTTACACAGATGTACATGGAAATAACAAATATTTTAAATGATTCTTCAAAAGACGATAGCATATACATGGTTGTTTTTACTGGAACGGGACATTTCTTTACTAGTGGAAATGATCTTAATATATTAAGTCCAAGCTCATCAAATGAAACTTTTTTTACAATTTTTAAGTAAATAATTTTACTTATAAATTACATTAATAGTTTGTATGCACACATATATTTAATACAATAAGCATATACATATTTACATATATACATATTTACGTATATTTTAATTTTTATAGAAATTTTATCGATGCTCTAATTACTTTTCCTAAACTGTTGATAGCTGTCGTAAATGGTCCAGCAATTGGTGTCGGAACCACTTTGCTTGGGCTTTGTGATATTGTATATGCTTCAGAGAAGGTAATTTCATTATACATTTATATAGAAATTATTTTGTTTATTTTACTTAGTTTTAATTAAATTTAATTGCTTATATTTTTAAGGCATATTTCTACACACCTTTTACTAAATTAGGTTTCATATCTGAAGGTTGTTCTTCGTATATATTTCCAAAAATAATGGGACCAAGTAAGGTAATTGTATTACATACATTTATACAATATAATTAGAATTATTGTATTATTTTTAAATTTATTGAAATATTCTATTCTCTAAAATTCTCCATTCTCCAAAAAATATGTTGTGAAATTTGTATTTTTCTAGGCTAGTGAAATGTTATATTTTGGTTATAAAATGGATGCTAAAGAAGCAAAAGAATATCGTTTAGTTGGAAATATATATAAAAATGAAGAAGAAGTATGGAAATATCTAAATAAACTAAGTCAACTGTCTACAAAGGTATACACACATTATAATTTTGACATGATTTTTATATTTTATTCATTATTTTGTTGCTAATTAAATAATTATTGAAATCAAATTTCAGTCTATAATAGGTATCAAACGTTTAGTGCAAAAATGCAATAAACAAACTTTATTGGAAATAAATAAAGCAGAAGTGGAAGAACTTATAGAAATAGTTGAATCGGGTGAAACTGTTAATAGAATATTAAATTTTATGTCAAGTAAAAATAAATTATAACTCCTATTTTCATTAACTTTCAAACTTTTAAATAATTGTGATACTATTATAATACTCTTTTTATATTTTATTACAAAACAATTTGTTTCTCAAGTTGTCGAATCATATTTTTCGGTTATAGAGTTTTTAAATATAAATGAAATATGTTTAGATACTTGTTTTAACATGAGCTCCTAAAAATAGAAATCTATATGAAAATATGTATCTTCCTTTTATAATATTTAATATGTTATCACAGTAATAACTATAATATATCAAGGTATAAAAGGGTTTACATAAATGTAGAATGTTTTAAAATAATAACATCCTTACTAAAATATCTTGTAATTTTGTTATCTTACCTGCATCATAACGTCTGAAAACGGTTGTCTATAATGCTGCCAATCAAGAAGTTGATTAATAGTTAAATTCTGTTGAGATTGTTCTTTTTTGGTAATATCTTTTATATTCTCTTTCGTGTTCAGTTTTGTATCTTCAGATTCATCTGATAATTCGTTGAGATTTGTTTGACCGACGCATGTGCAATTCATCAAATCGTGTGTTAAAGAATCTGTATTTAATGTTAAGGTAAATAAATCCTATAAATTAAATTTGAATTAGGAATGATTAAATTCATGTTAATAACAATTACTCAAATTATACACATATCATACAAAACAATTGTAATTTACCTTTAATTCGTTAGCTGATAATTTCAAAGAAGAAAGATTATTTGCATCTACAACAATTTCACTTAAATTTGTTTTACTAATTTGACGTTGATATATTTTTTCTTCAATCGTGCCTGACATTAATAATCTAGCAATTGTAAAATATAGAGTTTATATCATTGAAATATTTTTAATACATTTCCTTTTAAATAACTGAAATAACAAATTATGCATTATAATTGTTACCTATAGATATAAACATTTTTTTTTTGACCCTGCCTCCATATTCTCGCCATAGCTTGAGCATCTGATGCGGGATTCCAATCAGAATCAAATAATATTAGCCTAGATGCTCCTGGTAAATTTAATCCTACACCTCCTGCTTTAGCACTTAATAAGAATATTTCTGTAATTATAATGTACCTTTATAAAAAAAATAATATATAACATGATGAAAATATATATTTACTTACTACTATCATCAGTTTTAGAATTGAATTGTTCTATAATTTTCATTCTGGACACATTTTGTGTACTACCGTCGAGTCTACAAAATTTCAAGCCTTCGGCATTGCAAATAGTTTCCAAAAAATCAAGTGTTTGTGTGTAGTAAGAAACTAGTACAATTTTTTCATTGGTTTTTTTTATATTTCTCATTAAACATCGAACGAGTGTTATTTTACCACAATATTCTGTTTCATTAACATTTGAAGAATTATCATTTTTTATTAATTGCAAAAACATTGGATTATTATTTAAAAAATTATCTTTATCATTGGTAAATAAATCTGGATGATTGCAAATCTTTTTAAGTGCTGTTATAATCGTTAAATGTGATACTTTTTTCTCTGGTAATATCGTATTGTCAAACCAAGTATCTATTACAAGAGAATATAAGCTTTTTTGTCTTTTTGATAAATGACAAAATATAACCATTTCATTCTTTTGTGGTAAATATTTACTAATTATTTCTTGGGTACGTCTTAAAATAAAAGGACTAGTTGCATCACGCAATTCTTGGGCTCGTTCCTTTCCTAAAGATTGAGCATCTTCAGATGCATATGGACATTGAGAAGCAATGATAGGATCTTCGTAATAATGCTTGTATTCTGTACTGCTACCTAAAATTACAGGATTTACAAAATTGACAAGAGTATAAAATTCTTGCAAATCATTCTGTATAGGTGTGCCTGATAAAAGAATTCTTTTTTTACAATCCATTTCTTGTAATAGCTGTGAAATATAAAATATATATAACGTAATCACAAGTGAATTTATTTGTTAAACAAATATAATGAAATAAATTAAAACAATATTGTTACCTTGGCTGCTTGTATGTTACTATTTTTCAATCTATGTCCTTCATCGCATATTATTAAATCAAATTTAATATCTTTGATTTCTTCGTAGCTTCTAACAAACATTTCATAACTAATAATTAATACTTGCGATCTTGGTTGTCTTTTAAAATTTAATGGCTTATTTTTACTATCAGCAATAAAAGGAAAAATCCTATGAGAGCCCAACCAATGAATAAATTCTTTTTTCCAATTGCTACACAGACTGCTGGGAGTCACAATAATTACACGTTTTAATATCGGTTTACCAAATGGTCCTTTTTTTAAGAGCGTCCATATCAATGTTATACATTGCAATGTTTTACCAAGGCCCATTTCATCTGCCAAAATAGCACCATAATTATTCTCAACTTTGATTCCCATAATACATTCATAAAGAAAAATCACTCCATCTCGTTGATGTGGTCTAAGTACATTTGTCAAACAGGCATCTACAGACACTTGTTGTTCGTTTTCTAAATTAATATTATCATTTGTATCATCTAATTTAATAGACAAAATTGGCATTATTAATGCTTCAGAAGTTAGCTCAGAATCTACAATATCAAATAGATAACATTGATAAACAATAAAATAATAGAATAAAATGTTTCTCAGTAAATATTTTCAATTGAGAAATATCCTACTCTTTTTAAGCGAAACTCCTAATAAACTTGAACCAGTAATGGAAGTTTTAAACTTCTTCCTTGGTGGTTCTTTCTCTTCTATATTTTTGCAAGTATTATCCGTTAAGTTTATATCATGTGATATTCTGCTAATTATCTAATAAAAATTTCAAATTAATCTTTATATTAACGTATTAACCTAGCCAAAAATATGATATTTATTTACCTCTACTTCTTTACCACCCATAAATAATCTAAAACCTTCATCTAAACTTTGTGGATTGACCGTTGTTCTGCCAACGATACTACCATCCTGATCCTACTTAATAATAGAACGAAATATATGAAATATTCTTATACTAACATGCTAAATAATATCATATGCAAATATGTTACCTTTAAAATCGCATTTTTTCCATTAACTTCTAAAAAACCATCATTATCCCATGTTTTATGTTTTTTAGTAGTTACTTTTCCAAATACGACATTATATATACTAAAATCAATGTTAGTTCGTGTGATATTAATAGCAATATAAATAAGAAAAAATATAATTAAAATAAATCAAACATATCTTAAAAAAGTAATACATACAGTTTATTATTACTTTCTGCATATGGACGTTTGTTCTTATTGGTATTTAATTCAGTATCACATTCAGGAATCATCGATTCATTTTTAACTTCATTTTTGGTAATTATCTGTTTTGATTTATTAAAGGAACTCAAAACTTTTGAAATACGTCTAACGAGATTATTTAATATTAATAAGAAAAAATATAATTAAAATAAATTAGAAATATTTTAGAAAAGTAATACTTACAGTTTATCATTACTTTCAACGTATAAATGTTTATTGCTATTGGTATTTAATTCAGCATCACATTCGGAAATCACAGAATCATTTTTAACTTCGTTCTCAGTAATTATTTCTTTTGATCTATTAAAGAAACTCAAAACTTTCGCAGTACTTCTAACGGGAATACTTAAACCATTGTTTTCGTACGACATTTTATGTAAAATTCAAGGAAATGAATCGCTAAAAATTAAGAACTTCAATGTTAACGTTCTTTTTTATTAATTTAACAAATCTACAATTATGTAAATAATATAGTGATCAAAAAAATACTGCTAACCTAATTAGAAACACTACACCATACTGTTTTTTTTTATAAAAATACTACATAAGTAATATTTCATTTCGACAAACAAGTAATTTATACACAAATCTTTCGAATTCAGTTACAGAATACTACGCTTACGCGGGAATATACTAATAACCGAATTGATTTTATTGGTCCATAAGATACAAGTAATTTGAACTATAATCTTAATCATAATAACTACTAAATAGATTATTTTCTTATAAATATAAAAACACATACAATTTTCTAAGTGTATTGAATAAAATATAATTAAATTAAATCTTTTATACTTTATATTTGATTATTTTTTTGTCTTTAAGATACTAATATTTTATATACGTATATGTAAACTGTAGGCCAAAAAAATTAGTAATGTTTTACAAACCATATTTATCTTTGTCAGGATGGTAACCCTGATTTTCCTTTTTCTTGAAAAGAATTTTATACAAATATCAAGTGAAAATGTTTTAATTTAAAATATTTAACAAAATCTTGCGAATCTATTTATAGAAAAAAATGTTTGATACGTTATTCAACCATCTACATTTTTTTTTAGAGATATTTTATCTCATATTACGTTTAATATTTTTATTACAGACATATAATCAAATGTTTACCTTATACTATCCGAAAAGTTGATATTACTATTAAATTTAAATATTAATGATTTTATAAAATCTATAAAGATTTTTGAACTCTATTTTGTTTTTTAGTAATACTTGAACTGTCATCTTCGTATGCTTAAAGATGCTACTTTGTAATTACGATTAACTGGTAGAAATTACAAACAAGTTTATAATAATTTATTTATTTAACAGCTACAACATACCTTTTCTGTTAATACATCAAAGGAATATAATTTAAACATATATTTATGTCATTAAAATGCCACATTTCAAAAAGATGTTATTAATCAGGAAGATCATTATAGCAATATTACAATATTTGCATTTGTAATAAATTTTCATAATGAATTATTTACTGTAATACATATATATTTAATATATGAAATTGTATATGTTTTAGAGATTGTTCTATCGAAGATTAGATTATATATTAAGAATTTAGTTACAAACTATTTAAAAACCTAATAGGTAAGCTTGATACATAAATTCTACTGTACGACATTCTTTAATAGTTCATAATTGGAAGGTTATGAAAAATATAAGAATTTACAATACATTAGTAATAAAGCCTTAAGTCGATAACATATTTTTGTTGTCATCATATTCTATATAAATACTTATTGATTTCATATATCACTCAAATTGATTATTTAAGATTATTTCTTAAACTCATTCTTGAAGAAGACAGATGCAAAAATAAGTAGAATTGAAATATCTAGGAAGAGCAATGAAATCATTTTAACCATTAATACATCTTACAGTGTCACAATTTTTGCTCCATAGGAAGCAGTTACCAATACCGCTGTAACATATCAGAAAAATTGCAACTAAGAAGACTAAACCACATGTATTACAAGGTTTACGCTCCAAGAAGAATCCAATTAGATAAAGTGCCATAAACATAACGTGCGTTTGTAGCAATGCAGGATTTACAGGTTTGGGTATTAACAACACTGGAAGCAACCACTGTAGGCAATACATTCTTCTTGTTGTATATCTTAGCGTTGTACACAGGATGTATCAGTCAAGAGAAATCTCATCTACGCGAGAACCTTTTAACAAAACAATGTAGAAAAATATAATAGTTAGATCTTTATAGACAAGAAAAAGGGAATTTGTTATAATTAGCTTAATTATTTAATGAACCTCATTCGGAAGCATCATTTGCCCGTTGCGGAGAATATTTCTTCTCTCTTGTCTTTATTAAATGCAATCCGGGCTTAGGAACGCATTTATGACACTACTAATATTTTTACAAACAATTTTTTACCATTCAAGGTCACGAGTATAGCAGTCACTAATTTTGAGACGACCCACGTCAAATCCGATCAATCGTAGAATGACGACCGATTAAATGTACTCCTCTACGGCTAACCAATCAGATTTTTTATGCGTATGAAGTTTATAGATGACAGCAAATAGCATTACTTTGTTTATTTGTTCAAGAATATTAATATTCATGTAAAATTAAATAATTGTGATAACAATCAATCTAACCTTTATGAAGCGTTATAAAATGTCCGGAATATTGTACACAATGAGAGATCGTTTATCTGTTTTTCGTTACCTTATAAGACAAGAATTTAAATCAAAGTTTCTAAAGAATAGAAGACGAATGCATCCAATCAAAAATGTTAGTTTATACTTAGCACATTCATGTAAATCCTCCTTAACACTTTCCGTACATACATGGGTCGCATACGCCCAAAACTGCACTTTCCATTGAAGCCAGTTGCATGATCATATTGAATCATTTGTTCATTGTGCATTTGTGATTCCTACGACTCATACAGGAAGTCACCAAAGTTAGACACGGAAGCTGACAACATTATATGTGATATATATAAAGTAAGTATTATTATTTGCAGTACTTACTTAGGTAATATTAATATAATTGGTGATTTTTATTTGACACTAGAAAATAAAAATAAAATAAATACCTATATGAGATTCATAAGTAAATATATAAAATGTTCGATTGTCAGACATTTTTGTTCGATTCGGTCATATTTGAATTCACATCCTACTCATTCGATCTATGCTTTATAGAAATGTGAAACTGTGTTATTGATTATTTAAGTCTGCACGTAAAATAAGGTTATAAATATACATACACGTAACGCATTGTTAAGTTAATATTGAATGCATGTACAAACAGAAATATATTGTATGTTTACGTATGGTAATTAATAAGTTTGTAAGTCCATGAAAACAATTCATTTGATATATGCATTTGTGGTTTATTCAGATAATATATATTTAAACGATGATATAATAAATCGAATTCGTTATAAACTTGAATTTATATTAACAGACACATTTTAAAAAGAATTAATCAGTGAGGAAGATTATTATAACAATAATACAGTATTTGCATTTGTAGTATATTTCCATAATGAATTATTTAATACACAATAGATAATGAGTTAAAGTATGAAATTAAATACATATAACGAATTGTTTTATCGAAGTTTAGATAATATATCAAGAGTTTAGCTATATAAAGTATTCAAAAACCTAATATATATGTATAATGATGCGTAAATTTTATTAAAGTATAAAATAGATGTATCTCTATTTTGAAATTATTGACAAATATTTTCTAATATTCTTTTTTAAGGAGAAATATATAAACTACGTACCTGCCTAAAAAATACAAAACTCAAAAGCCTTTACATTTTGTAACTTTGTAAAAAGTTTGTAAAAATGCATTTCGCTATACCAGACACCCAAGAACTTGTTGATGAATCTAATAGTATATATGTTGTAAGTATAAATATCTTAAATTTGTATGAAGACAATTACATTATTACTTAACTTGTACTATTCACTTCTTTTTCAGAGTTACAATGTTCATATTAATGGATTATTGCATTGTACTTTACGATACAGGCAATTTCACAACTTACACGAAGAGTTAGTCAAAAAGTTTGGACCTCTCCTTCCAGCATTTCCTCCAAAAAAGTTCTTTCCTTTAACTGCGAATCAACAGGAAGAACGTCGTGTCGGCCTAGAAAAATATCTGCAAATAATAGGGCAGACATCCGTAATATATTCCTCAGAATTATTTAACAGATTTTTTTTTAATGCACAACAGGAACTTGTATGTGGTATATGGGAGGATGAGCCATTGGAAGTATATATAAAAAATTCTATACAAACACTTACATTTTCTTCAAAATTAAATTCTGGGCAAGTTGTGAAGGTATATTTGTGTATATTATTAAAAATATTATTAAGTGCAATTAAGTTACTATTTCATTTTTTATTCATATATTATTTTTTAGAAAATAATTGACCAAGGTCATCTAGGGGCTTACTTTTCTTTGTTTATTATTGCACAAAAAGTTGGCGATAAGGTTGATATACATACTAGTATGTATGCTCTAATGTTATTACAATAGTATTATTATATTTTATTTCATTTATGCACTATCTAATAACTTTTTTGTTTGTTCTTCAGTATTGCGGAAGTTAGAGGAGTTTGAATCTCCTGTTATAACATATAAAAGAATGCTCACTTCAGGTATTCGAATATTTCTTACAATTAGAAAGAATTATTGGGATATAGAACATAGTATTAAATTATTTACAATTCCTATAACTAGAGGATTTTTAATCCAAGAAATAAATGCTGATATTGCGAACGACAGGGTCTTCTTTTCAGCAAATATTAAATTTAATCAGTATATTTTGGATAAAAAGGTATCTTGTTTATAAGTAATTTCAATTTTTAAGTTTATACATTAACGATCAAAAAACTCCATTTTTTCACTCGATTTATTTTCTCTAATTTACTTCGTCAAAATGTATTTAACGATACATTTTTATCAAGGTGAAGTGCATGTCTTATGTTATTAAGTGCATTAGAGGTAAAAAAAGGTATATATGTTTTGAGAAATTCTTACATATTTGTGGTATCTTATTAAAAATTAGAATCAAATTGCGACGAATAATTACTAAATGTTATTTCAAGTTTTTATTTTAATCTGTTTTCCAGAAATTATCAACACGAAGATTAAAATATTATGGCTATTTACGATTTGTACCATGCCGCTGTGATTATCCTGAACCAAAATCAAAAGTAACAGTTGGCATCGGTAATAATGAATTAAATTTATGTATACTAGATCATCGTAATGATACTGAACTGTCATGTAAAATAACTAGAATACGATGTTGGCGTATTACTACTTTATCAAATGTACCAACTGTAAGTATGCATTTAGAAAATTAAGAATATTTGCAGTTATAAATGACACGAATATAACATTTTTAGAGTATTGGATGGATTGATAATGACCAGTTTAATTTCGAACTAACTTTCGAATATTTATTTCCTGATAATAAATTGCAATGGATTACAATTTCTTCTAATCAAGCTATTTTAATGTCTGTTTGTCTACAATCTATGATTGATGAATTAGTATTAAAAAGTACAAATGACAAACAGGTTTGTAGATAATTAATAAATGCTAATAAAATCAAATGTTAACTTAAGCAATGGATACATTTACTTTTAGGAGCCAGAAAGTAATGACTCATGGGTACATATAAAGAAAGATGAACAAGACCGTATTGTGATGGAAAATGAATTGGTAGAAGATATTGATCAAGTCAAACAAGTACATGAAGTAAAGACAAATTGCCTGCTTTGTTTAATTATTTCTTATACTTTGTTATAATTATTATTTTCTGTTCTTTTTTCTTTTTTAGAGAAACGGAGTTCAATCTAATGTTCAGAAATTAATTGGTGTAGTAATGTCATCTTTTCCTCTATGGACGACAAGGAATAGGAATAACGACAAAAGAACTATGGTCTGTAGAGATAGTATAGAAGAATATAGTGATATTGTGGCAAATAATCCATTTTATATGATAGGTGATGATGTTTTATAGTGTCTATAATGACATCCCTACTTTTTAATTAGAGTAATTAAATGAATGCTGCCGCAGCAGATTCAATGTCATATTTTTAATGATATTACACATATAATAACTTTTTGAAAAATTTATTTGTAATTGCAATTAGAAAATAGATAATGTCAAGACTGAAACAGGAATATGTCAAAATTTGCGATATATTTTATATTGCAAGGATCTATGCAATGGAAAAATAGACGAATATTGCAAGTTTTTAAAAAATGAAAACGAAAGTGATATTGATTGAAGTTTCAGTAAGAAATTGCTAAGGAACTTGTCAATTAAAAACAAATATATTCCACGTAAGCATTTTTTTCTACTTTTTATCTATTAACATGTTCACTGTCGAACATATTTTATTGATTTTTACCCTAACACCGATGAGAGATTGTTCATATTTTAATGATTACATCGTCATATATCTATTTAAATTTTTGCAATAGTACAAATTAAATTAAATTGTATTTACAAATTGAGACACATTATTGTTTTACGTATTTTTATTAACTTCAATTGAACCTGTCACATTTATGACCACAATAGCAATCGATTTGCTAATTAAAAAGATTAAACAACTTTTATCTCAAAAGAATCAATATCATATTTTTATAATATTATACAAAAATTTTATAAATAATTTATTTATAATTATGATTAAAGAATTGATTATTTTAAGACTGAAATAGGAATATATTAGAATTTGTGAACTATTGTGGACATGTATCCGATGAACAAATATGAGAATATTATAAATTTTGGAAATATTAAATTAAAAGCGAAATTGATTGAAGTTTCAGTAAGAAACTGCTAAGGAATTTGTCAATTAAAGAACTAATATATTCTGCATAAACATTTCTTCCCACTTATCATTTGTTAGTATCGCAATATTTGATTTCAATGTAATAAGGTGTGTTTTTATTATATTACAAAATTGTTTTATGCGTTTGAATGAAAAATTGTATAACTTCATGTATTTCTATGATAAAAATTATTTTTACGAAGTAAATAATGGATTACTTACATAAATATATGTAAAATTTGAATACTTTAAATAATAAAAATGATTTTTAAAAAAAAAGCGTATCGTAGAAAGAATGGAAAGTCTTGTCTTTAAAGCTTAGTGGCAAATGCATATTTATTGATGAAAAAGTAAAGACGATTTTGGCAGATACTACAAATATCTTGACTAATTTTTACATAAATGAATTAAGTTATTTAGTAATAACGAGATGATCCGCAGATTAATACTAAATTTTAACAAAATGGTGGTCCGATGCGTTACTGTATCTGCAATAATACTGATGAAATATTTTGTCTATTTTAAAATACGAATCATATTTATAAAATCAGTTTTGTATATATAGATATACATATATAATGAAAAAATTTGTATAATACTTAATTTTTAAATCCCAGTAAAAAATAAAACAACGAATATCTTAAATGTGTTTCACACTGAATAATACAGAGAATAGGAGATTTCAATGAAGCCACAAATGTCGATGAAATTAACAATTTGTGTATATTATTATCAACGTTATATAAAAGAAGCAAATAATGAAGAAAAAATCATCATACAATAGGTTTCATTTCTATTTAAAAAAAGGGATAGAAGATAAACAGAATATTTTACAAAAGTAGTCACTTTGTAGAAGAAAAAATTCTATCTCTACGAATAATTTTTGTGATTTGTCTTAGTGGCTCCAAAAAAAAAAAAAATAAAAAAAAAGTATTAAAAAAAAAAATCCAATTAGATCTAGTTAAGAGTAATTGAAATTCAGATCTTTTGTATTACTGACATCGTGCATATTTTTCTATATCAAAAATATGTTATTATTCTGTATCCTCATTCCTCAAATGGATAAAAAGTAAATTCAGTTCTGGCTACAGGATCTAAGTGTCATCGATCTACCTTTATTATTTATTATATATGTATGAAATAGCCCAACGTCAGCAAAGAATTTCTCTGTGTATAGTCATTCTCTACAATTTTAGGCAACAAGTCAAGTACGAATCACCATTATGATAACTTGCCACAACATATGGGAATTGTATATAAATATTGTTTTGTTGAATTAATCGATGATTATTAATATCATGATATCATAATCATTACTAGTAGTCGTAAAACTCCGCAATTTCGATAATTTCAACACCCTAATATTGCGAAGTAGAGAAATATAAGACTATTCTCTAATAGGGAAGACTAATCCTAGTAAGTTCTTTCTCGAAATATTTTCTTGCAATGTATCCTCTCACCCACCATAATGTGTTACGTGAAATTCCGTAAAAACTATCATGTATGAGAATGCATGAATTTATATATTTTAAATACATGGTGTTTCGTGCTTAAGAAAGAATATCTCTCAAGGTGAGATTAAATTGATGTAAGCTAATATTGACAAGATCACGCGTTATTGAAATTATATACTATATATGGCAGTAGAATTAGCAATAAAGTATAATTCGCGTTTGAAATTAAATGAAAATACTTAAATGCCTAAAACGAAATTTCTATATATATATATATATATATGTATGTATCATGTGAATGATGTTCAGGGCTTGTAGTGGTATTTCTTTCTAAAACTTCAGGTCACTGGTCATATTATCGCGTTAAATACGACGTTCAATTTTTCACTGCACCTCACATAACGATGAAGTTTATTAGTGCAAGCAACAAGTAGGGTGGCGGGGGGAGTAGCTTTAAAAAGCCAATATTCAAGCTCTAATAATGATTTCATTAAAAATAATTCTTGTTAAAATAAATGGCATTAAATGTGACTAGTAGACGCAAGATTATGTCGTCAAATTTCATTTCCAAACAAGCCAACAATTGTAAACTTTATGCTTTCCTGTTCCACATGCATTGCACACCTTCTTGCATTTCCTAATCAACCCTAAAAAAGGATATATACTTTCTTTATAAGAATAGTATATTTAACAGTAAATATATGTGTAAATTTAATAGAAAAGAAAGAGAGAAAAAAAACACGAAAAAAATGTGAAGGAAGAGTTAAGTAGAGTTATTGTTTCTTCACCTAAGTCATGTAAAATAATTTACATTGGTGACGTGAGGCTATTGGCTAGTATTACCTATGTACCCTAGTTTCCCAAAGACAAGCAACATTTATTTAAAGAGGGAAGTTATTTTTAAATGATTATATCTCTTACTAGATAAATGTACATAAAATAAATGTCCTTTTCTTTGGCGAAACTAGGGATGAAGTGGATAAAATCTATTTGTTTATACAACTGTACACTCTTTATCTATCATCACACTCATTTGTTTAAAAAAAGAAATCAAACTTAGAAGTTCTGTTGTCTCTTTCGTTTAGTATCCATGGCATCTAAAATTGGTTGCCTCTTCGTTTGATATCTTCTTCTTAATTCATCAATTTCGCGTTCCATTTCTGCGTCCAGATTAGCCATTCTTTGTTGCAGTTCTTCGTAAGATAGAAACTTTAACTGTAAAATTTTTGATAGTGTTTGGTTAATGCGTAAAAATAAGAATTTCTAACTGTATAGGCAGAAAATTAAGATGATATTTTGTAAAGATCTACTACTTATTTGAATCGTAAAAGAAAGCAGATTATTAAATGTAAGTATTACACCAAATTTGTGTAATTTATATTAAATTATATCTTGTTATTTGTTAATACTTACAAAGTCAAAATCACGTTCCGTAAAAACATTTTGAAACTTGGCTACATTATTGACTGGTTGTTCTTGTACCGGATGAGATATTTGATTGAGTTGTAATTGTAAATGGCTTTGAAACCTTTGAGATTCTGTAGCACCTTGAACATCGATTTTATTAGCCATCTCTACATTATGCGCTCCTGATATTTGTCCATTGCCCTAGATATTTATAAAGAAATATTTTGGTTCTACATTAGTATCTTCAAAGCTATTTTTTTTTTCTATACTTACTTTTCCTATTTCGGGTGCTTCCTTTTTATCGAAATGATCAAGGAACAAAGGTCGATATTTCTTTCCAGATTCAACTGATCCAGTATTATGCCCTATAAATAGTTGCAAACATATACATATGTAATAATAGTAATTGTTGTTTACATATACATTCATTAGCGTATAGACTAACTTTTCATAGTGGCTTCAGTATCAGTATCACTGTTGATGACCATTGTACCAAGATCTAATACTGCAGATACAAGCGTTCCAGTGTCTGGCAAATCATGACTGGGAACAAGCGTTCCTGTATCTTCTGGCAAGGGTTTCATGGTACCACTACAGTCTTCTTCATCCTTTATATTTATAGATAGAATCACATGATCAATATGTTTAACATTTGAGAAAATAATATATATTCATGCAAATCAAGTTAAATTGTATTTGATGACATTACCGAATCATCCGCTTGATTTTGATTTTTAATCGCAACGTTATTGATAACATGTGCACGATGTGCACTTTGTTTCTCTCGTATTTCATGAGCTTCAGCGATCATATGACTAAGAATACTTGGTTGCTTTGCATTACCTGTAATGAGACGTAGTTGTATGAATTTAAAAAAAGAAATTTGAACAGTTATTTAATATCTAATTTTTGCAATACATGCAAAAATATATGCAATATGTTTACCAATAAATTCATGATTGAGTAATTCAGAAGCCGTAGCTCTCTCTTCTGGATTTTTAACAAGGCACCCACTGACAAAGTCAATAAATTCTGGACTCCATTGATCCGGTTCTCTAAAGCTAGGTGGAGGTTTAGTTGGAATCATAAATATTGCTCTCATTGGATGAATATCACCATATGGAGGTTTTCCTTCTGCCATTTCTAAAGCTGTTATACCAAGCGACCATATATCTGCAACGCAGTCATATCCTATTTCTTGTATCACTTCAGGCGCCATCCAAAATGGCGTTCCAATCACTGTATTACGTTTAGCCATTGTATCCTATGCAAAAGACAATTAATCATAATTAAATTTACTTATTCACATCATAGGAATGAATATGATCAAAGTATTAGGTCTTACAGTCAATTGACCCGCAACACCAAAATCGGCTAATTTTGCGTGTCCTTCGTTATTTAGTAAAATATTTCCAGCTTTAATATCCCTGTGTATTTTTCTTCTTAAATGCAAGTATTCTAATCCTTTCAAGGTATCACTAAGAATCGTAGCGATTTCATCCTCTTGTAAAGTCTTTTTTCTTAATCTCATAATGTCGCTAACAGATCCAGCTCCACAGTATTCCATTACAATCTGGAAGATTAATAATTCAATGTTATGTGATTCTATACAATTGAACACAGTAAGAGGCAGTAATCATAAAAGTTTAAAAAATAAAATACATATAAATTGATCTTATAAATTCAATAGAAATGATTTAACTTGTTCTTACCCATAGGTCTGTATTTTTAAAATAACTTCCATAATATTTAACAACATATGGGGAATCACATTGTTGCATAATTGAAATTTCTTTTATGATTTCCTGTAAATCAGTATCCACAGGTACTTGTTTAATAGCAAGCACTTGCCCGCTCTCTTTATGCAATGCTTTGTAAACTGATCCATAAGATCTGCATTATAAGAAATCATAGAAAAACAAATATATTAATAATAAAAAATGATACGCTTTATCTACCTTTAACAAATTTCCTTTAGACTATAATTGTTTGCCAATCAATAAAGGTATAATTTGTTAATTGAGTCATAATTATTTGTAAGAAATAACTTTTAAGGAATACATTTTAATGCGAGCTACAATTATCTAAACTCACCCTTCTCCTAGCTTGCATATAATATCAAATACTTCTTCAGGTTGCCTCGTTAAGCTTTCTTCTGATAACTTTTTTAATTCACTGCAAAGCATTAAATAAAGTAAGAAATTTGCATTAGTTTATGGTAAACTCTCTCTATGTACATTCAAATATATTTTTTTTTCTTTATAAAAACGATACCATTAATACTGCAATTTTTTTCAACATAATGTTTTAACTAAAATCTTAAAGAAATATAACATAACGTCATTTCGTGGAATTCCAAAATGTATAGTTGAGGAAAATAAGATTTTAAAGAAGAAACTACAACAGGTTAACAAAGGTAGAAAAAATATCGCATTAAATAAAAAGCATCGATTTATAATTGACTCTGAAAAATCATATTAATTCAAAGGTAAAGGATTGTCATTATCTTCTCATTTATTAAGATTTCAAAATGCTAAGTAGAACTAATCGTAAACGCATAAACAATCGAATACCTCTTAGAAGACATCTTCGTTTTTATATCACCGAGTTCTTATTCAATAAAAGCACGTTCAATGGATGAAAATAATGAAATGCAACTAAATGAGATATCATTCCGTTTGTAAAAATATAATTAATTCATACGACGAATATTACATTTTTTCAATAAATTAAAATAATTACAACCGAAATATCGAAGGCTTCGAACATCGGCCATTGTAGATGGCGGAGTTGCTAAAGCGCATCGAAAGATGAATTTGAATCATTAGCGCTATTTCGCGCATCTACACAGGAACGATTTTTCCCGAGTACTCCATTGGTTCGTAAAAATAATCTAATCGTAAGATTAGACGATTATGAAATGTTATCAGTTTAACGAAAGTCAAAGGAAAGATAAACGATGAGATAAAACATTATTTTTCGTTTTACAATGAAGTTCGATCGAATGCAATGTTGTAATGGAAAATCGAAAATCGGTAGGAGCGATAAGCCAATCGGATATGAGTTAAATAAAGAGAAAGAAAGATAATTGGGTAAGGGTAAGAAGCGCTAACCAGTGAGAAAACTTTGAACTATACGTATCGCTGCAAGCATGTTTTTCATTGGTCGGTTGGTAAGATTTTTTGAAGGTTAGGGGGAATTTTTGTTAGTAGACGTTCTACAGTGATTTTTTTCTTGGCCTCAGGAGCGGTGGGTAGCGTAGGCACTGCCGAAGGCAGTAGGTTGCCAAGAAGGAGCAACAGGCGAACACGCCTCGCTTTGGCTCGGTTCGGCTTAGCTCGGCGCTTCGGCGACGTGCGTTGCGTAGCGACTTGCGCGAATGGTTAGCATCGTCGATCCAGTGTCTAGTGTTTCCGTAACCGTAACGGCGAGTCGTGGGGTGTGTTCGTGCCTTTTTTTCATTCTTTACCGTCAAACGCTTCTTACAAGAGGGCTCCAAGGGGGTGCGTAAATATATAAGAATCGTGTGTCGTATGCTTTCGCATACGCAGGTGTATTACAAGGGAGACGAGTGCGAGACGGCGAAGGATAAGATATATCATCGAGGGAGGAGTTAGAGAGGAGAGGACCGCGAGAAAAACGGAGCGAACAGAATCAGCGAAGGAGTGAGAGAAAGAGAGTGTGTGGGGGGAAGAGAGAGAGGTAAAGAGGAAAGATAAAGGAGAGGCAGAGTGTGCGCGAGCGCGCGGAAAAGAAGACGGGGGCGGTGGCGGAGAAAAGAGGAAAAGGTGGTGGTGGTGGAGGCGGCGGCGGCGGTAGTGATAGTGGAAGTGGTGGAAAAGGAGGGGCGGTGGTGGATGAGAAGGAGGTGGCGGTGTTGACGGCGGAGGAAAGAGCATCGTAAGATAGAAGTCGGAGGTGGAGGAGGACACGGGCGCCGCGACGCGACGCGACGCGACGCATCGCAACACAACGCAAAGCAAAGCACAATAACTTGAGAATAATAAGGTATAAAGACGAACGAATATACGAATAAAGAAAAGCACTGGAGGAGAAAGAGGAGAGTAAGAAAAAGAAAAAGAAGAAGAAGTAGTAGTAGTAGAGTAGTAAAGTAATTAGAAGTTAGTAGTAGTAGAAGTAGAAGAAGAAGAAACAGCAACAGAGGACGATCGAGAAGACGGCGGAGCGCGTGATCCAAAATGGCGCTCAATCAGGAGATCGATCAGTTGTCGAACAGTAGTAATCTCGTAGTGAGGATCGATCAAAATTCAGAATCCGATCTACAGGCTCTGTTCGATACGGTCTTGAAGCCGGACTCGAAACATCCGCTTCAAGTGCCATTGCGTATGCGAAATTTACCCGATTCGTTTTTCAACCCACCATCGACCGGCAGCAGAAGCCCGTCGATCTCGCACTCGCGCGAAAATTCGGCCGACTCGGCATTCGGCAGTAGCGGCGCTTCCGGCGCGGTCACGGGGACCACCGGAGGACGTAATGCGGAATCGTCCGGTGGTGGCGGCGGCAACGTCGTAACCGGCGGTGCTAATGTTTCCGTCGTGGGTGGTGGCGCCGGTGGGGGGGCCGGGGCCGGTGGTAGCGTTGGCGTGACGAATGGAAACGGAGGTGGCGGCCCGGCCGGTGGAGGAAGCCCCGGCGGAGGAGCCGGAGGAGTCGTCGCGGTCGCGGCCGCGGCCGCTGCGGCTGGCACGAACGTCAACGGAGGAAACACCGGAGGAGGTGGTGCCGGTGCCACGGTGAACAACGGTGGCCCTCCTCCGGGGCCGGCTGGCGTCCCGGCGGGGACGGCCGCGAGTGCAAGCGCCGTCAACGGTCCTGCACCAGCGGCTGCAGCGGCTGCTGCGGCCGCCGCAGCAGCCGCAGCCGCAGCCGCAGGCTTGACGGTAGCCCATCCGCGCGCCCACAGCAGCCCTGCATCCCTGCAACAGACCTATGCGTCCGCGCAACAGGCGCAGCAACACGCGCCGCAGCCGCACGCTCGTCACCACCATCACCAGAAGCAACGCAGTTACGACGTCATCAGCACGGTCGACGACCTGGGACCCCTGCCACACGGATGGGAACAGGCGCGCACTACCGAGGGACAGATCTATTTCCTCAAGTGAGTACCTCATCTCTCTCTCTCTCTCTTTATCTCTCATTCTCTTTAACTTTATATCTCTGTCTCTCTCTCCTTTTCTCTTTCTCTTTCTCTTTCTTTCCCGTTCTTCTTGCACGCATGCACGCGCCTGCCTTCGCGGACTTTGATTCTTCCACCTGTTGGCTATCGATAAATCCTCGCTATTTTGCCTTCGTTCGATCAGTTACGTCAATGTGCTTTGGTACCGTTATGACGAAGTTTCTTATCGCTACTTTCTTCTTTTATTATATTTTACTTTGGAATTTTTATTCGTATTCCCACGCGTTGACGCAAATATAAGAAGCTTTCTCTTTTGATTTTTAAATAACCATTTTATATGCGCTATGCATCAATTAAACTTTGAAAATATCGAAAAGAAACTTCGAGATTGTGCCTCGATGCGGCGGCGGCTTTGAAATGCAATTTTTGAATATAACGTTAAGATGTTGTTTGCACCGTAGGCACATTTTATCGAACGACGTTACTAAAGTCGAGGAAAAATGTGACGTGCAAAGCCGGTGGTACGATTCGTCGCGCAGAAACACGGACGCGAATGCGGTCCGGAGGCTTGAGCAACGACGAAGTCGTAGCAGTTTTGTTGTTCGAGCCGGTCTCTTGGTATTCGCCTTTGCGTGCCTTCGGCTGAGGTCCAGTTTCTTCTACGTTGTTCGATTCGTGCGATCCCTTTCTCTCCTTCTATCTCCAACGATCGTAACTTTGAACCACCTCATCAAAATTTCCTTTACTTTTCGTTCTTCCATTTGAAAATCACTAAAGTTTGCTCGCTAATATTTTTCCCCCCTCGATATATCTTAACTTTGTTTATTCTCTTGTTGTTCAAAGTTAGAGAGAGAGAGAGAGGGAGAGAGAAAAGTTGATCGTTCGATAAAATTTTACTGTCTTCTTTGTCCCTGTTTTATCTGATTCCCGCGTGTCTTTTAATATTACTCGTTTATCGTATCGGCTAAAACGAATCTTGAAATACACCGTATATGCGATAAGACATTAACGGCGAGGTACGAAATAGGCCGGTGATTATACCTCGATAGGAGAGAAATTACGTGACTTACTTTTTACGATTGTACGGAATACGCGGTGAGATCTTGTGAGGCAAATTGCATTACTCTAGTCACATTCAGAGAAAAACGATATATGTATAGTGTCTGAGAGAGAAATGGATGGAAATCGGGCGCGAAGAAAATTCACCGATTTACTTGACATAACACGCATATTTTCTTATTTAACGATTTGAAATTGGCGGCAGGAGTTCTTCTAGGCGAATTTTTCCTGCGCGCTTACATTAAACCCGTTATGTTATTACGGCTAACGAAGATGGAACTTTAATGGGGCTGATTTTATCTAGCGGAGATCGCATCCAAGCGATTATGCCAAAGTCCGAAGGAACTTTCGACTTACGTCGTTACCGTTAGACGCTGACCGAAGCGATCGAGTATCGCTCGAAGAATCGTCGTCGAAATCACGTTTCTCGTAATTCGAACGTTCATTATTTCCATTTTTTACTGGCTTTCGAGACAACAAAATAAAAAAGGGGGAAAAAATGACGAATTATCGCTAGAAGAGTTTTCAAGCGCCTCAACGTATACGGTATTATCGTTACGTGGCGCTAATTGGATAAGTTCTTTTACGATTGATCGCGCTTCTATATAATTACACATTTTCTTGGTAATCTTACAATGATTCGATTTCGCTTTATCGGTTGGCAATAAAAAAAATTCTAATCATTTTTTTCTTCTTTTCATACGACAAGACGCAATGAATCGTTAGAGAATTAACAGTATTTTCTGTTAATTTCAGATTTCTCTAAACAGACTTTAAATCTAATTTGTAAATGACATACAATTAATCATTAGTACCCTTGTTAATCTTAACGACACTATTATTTCCTTTTCAAAATCGTTCATTAAATAATAATTATCCTGTATGTTGTCATGAATATTCAAAAAGATTCGGGGGGAGGGATAGAGAAGAAAAGGGAAGGTAGGTAGGTAGGTAGGTAGGTAGGTAGGTAGATAGGTAGGTAGGATGGATAGAAAAAGAAAAAGAAAAAGAAAAAAGGGAAATACATAGTTGCGCTTTGGATCTTGTAACGAAGAACTATAATGGCATCCGCGTGTTAAGGAGAACGGGACGAAGGACGATTTAAGCGTTTCCGCGCGGCGACTGTTGCGGTGACGACGGCCTCGAGCACCGACGCGAGAAAGTAACGTTAACGCTCGATACGCCTTTCTTACGCGCGACGATCAACGCGTATGCGAGTTCAGTTGGTCTCCAATACCAATACCAATACCAATTCCAATACCAATACCAATACTAGTCACTGCACAATGACACGTGTTAGATACTAATATCGATTCTATGAGATCCAACTAGACTCTCGATTCTATTGTTCTCGACGATGCGCGTGAGTTGCTTTCCTCTAACTCCCTATGTGTGTGCGTGTGCCAACCCATTTCTTCGTTTTATTTATTATTAATAATATACCGATAATAATCCTAAAATCATGATCTTTTTTTTCTTTTTTTTTGTGTTCAAAATGATCGATCATCGTTCGTTGACTTTTCTTACGCGATAAACAAATAGATAATTCTCGATTGAACAAAAAAATTCAATCCAATGTTTAAGAAGACTCCGGATGTGCTATCGGTGTCATCGATGCACCGATAGAAGTGAAAGGCGACATTTGAAAATGTTAAAAGGTAACTGATATTTATGACTCTCTTTTTATCCGCGATCCACGACGCGTGCTCTTCACGTTCCGAATCTTTTCTTCTCTTCCGAATGATTAGAAGGTAACCAAAGTAGTATTACATCAAATGTCTTACAACAAGGAACCATTTTTCGTAATAATGCAAAATGGCCGAGCTTTTGAAGTATACGAAAATCATAATCGAAACTGTTATTTTCTTTTTTGAAAAGGTAATAATATAAATAAGAAAAGAAAGAGATACACGAAGAGAGGTAAATGGGGATAAGAATTAGTACAGTACGTTTGTTGATGACATCGTCAACGTCAACGTCATCGTTGTCGTCTCACGATAATAACAGGATGGCTGCTTAACAGCTCACCTTACGTTTCGAGTTATCAGTTTGATAAGCTTAAAACTTCTTGGAAAACTTGCGATGCAGCTGTGGAGAGAAAGAGAGAGAGAGAGAGAGAGAGTCAGTCAGTCGTAGTGTTATTTCTCCCTCCCATTAGTTTTTTTTTTCCCATTCTAACACGTTCGTCGTATAAATAATGAAGATGGTTCATTTGATCATCCCTGGTTTGTACCTTCCTTGAGGCTAACTTATTGTCCCATTGAAGAAGAATGTCTAAGTTATTCTACCCTTTAGTAGGAACTACCTCTCCTACGAATAGAGCTTGTTCGTACCTGTCTAATGCATTTCAACTTGTCTAAAAAGTTTCCTCGAACCTTCTCAGAATCCGGGACGTAGAAGTAAAAAGCATAAGTCGATGGTGGCTACTCTCGCCTTGGGAATGCCATTCGTTGAGCCTCGAGCTAAACAAACCCGCTCGCATGACTATACAACACCACCGAGGAGATATCGACCTATCGTATCGTATCGGATCGAACGGTGTGAATGGACCTTTATAGCAGCCGTCTATCGTGGATACGACGACACACGGTTGCCTTGCTCGCTCATACTACTTATATTCTTCCTATGTATGTGTATATTTATGTATACATGTGATATACGTATGTGTTTCTCTCCTCGGCTTCCCTCTTTGGCCTCCCTCGACCCTCTTCCTCCTCCACCTCCTCCTCCTCTTCCTACTTAGCTTCCCTCTGTACCTCTCAAGCGCTTCTCTTTCGTTCTTCGAACCTGATCCACCTGCGTCGCCGTGACTGAGATTCCCACGTGTCACCTGTCGTGGGAAGTTCCCTTCGAGACTGCGTCCTCCTCCTACTCTTACTTACTCCTACTCCTCCTTCTCCTTTTCCTTCGCCTTTGCCTTTGCCTTTGCTTTAGCCTGTACCTGTGCCTGTGCCTTCTTCGTCTTCGCCTTCGCCTTCGCTTCATCCTCGTTTTCTTTCACTACCGCTCTTCTTATTCTTCTTCTTTACACGCTGATATAAGAGATTAGCCTTCTCTTTCGAATTTTGGTGTCGTCTTCCTCGTTTCGACGTAATTCTAAGCTTGGGAATCGAACCGGGCACTTAAGTTAGTCTTTTTTTTTTTTTTTTTTTTTCTTACATATCATTGACAAAAAAAAAATATATATATATATATTATAATACGCTCCCCGAAACGTCACTCAATATTATTATATGCAATTTTAGACGAATTTTCTGTCTCGATGATTTTTTAGATTGAAAAGTTTCTTTTTGTTGTTGTTGTTGAAATTTGTCTCTCGTCATATTTTACGTTTAATTATTCCTAAATGTTATTATATTGATTTATTGGGATTCAATTTTGATTAACCCCTTGATATATGTAATAATGTTTCAGAAACGTCATTCATTTCATGTGCCATTGTAAACTTTGACGTCTTCGTGACGTCAAGAATCGTCTCCGGCGGACACCGTGCAGCATATTATTATAATATTTAATTATTTCACTCGTTTAATTATTGTCCATTAATATTATGTATCAACCTAATTGAATGTTATATAACAATGCAAATTTCAAAATGTTCCGTTTCTAAGCTTGCACATAATAGTTCAGAGAGTTGAGCCAAATTAAATAATATTTTTCTGTTTTTATTTCTATGTCGTTGGGATTAAAATATATTAGGGATAGCACACCCGCACAATTAATTAAAACAAATTTAATATTTATTTAACAAAGTAATCGTACATTTGTTAATTCTTGAAATAACAAGAAAATTGAGGAAACAACCGGGCACTTAAGTTAATCTTCTTTTTTTATTGCGTACTATCGACAAAATAATATACGTACATATATATTTTATATATTCTAACGATTTTTGACGAATTTTCTGTCTAGGTGGATTCTAG